ATTGTAAAATAGTTTTTTTATATGTTGCACACCGGGTGAAAAGTCAGTCGTGTAACATCGACGGTCGCTCCTGTACTTGAGAACACCCTTATACACGTGTTATTTTCATTTTTCATGAGATCATTTGACAACACTTAAAATATATTATATAAATATTGTACACTAATAATCTTGATTAATTCTGGTTTTTTACCAAATTTTTTTCACCCATTGATTTTTTTTATAGCAAATGATTCATAAATTTGCCGGAAATATGTATATAAAATTGCTTTAAATCATGAAACTTGCATCCAGCCGGCTAACCATTTTTAATACTTAATAAGCGCATGTGTAATCAAATGCATAAGATCAACATTATTTTCTTGTTTCAGAATTTAGTTAGTTCAGTCAAATCTTATTTATAAACAAAGTTTTTTTTTTTCACTATCTGCAAGATAATAATGTCTTCGATTCAAAATCAAAAACCCAAAAGAATAGCTATAGTTGGATCCGGAATATCTGGCTTAGGTTCTTCCTGGCTTCTTTCAGAGCATTCTCCTCATGATGTAGTTCTTTACGAACAAAATGATTATATTGGAGGTCATACGCATACAGTTGACTATATTGTTCCAACGACAAAAAGTTCAGCAAATCCAAAATCAATACCAGTAGATACTGGATTTATTGTTTTCAATCATTTAACTTATCCAAACTTGATAAGATTTTTTAAACATAAGAACGTTGAATTTATGAAATCTGAAATGAGTTTTTCTTTTTCAAGAAATCATGGCGAATTCGAATGGTCAGGAAAAAATCTATTATCGGTGTTTGCTCAACCAAAAAATTTATTGAATATAGATATGTGGAAAATGTTATATGACGTTTTAAGATTTAATTTTCATGCTACCGAATTATTGAATTTGCCTGATGATCATCCCGAAAAACAATTGAGTCTGGGAGAATATCTTGACCTTTATCATTATTCCGCCTCTTTCAGAAACAATTATTTGTTGGTAATATATATATATATATATATATATGTATATTATATTTTTTTTATCGCTATATTTATTTTTACAATTAAAATTTATTATATTTAGCCAATGACCGCTGCTATTTGGTCCACTCCTCCAGAAAAATGTACACTTGACTTCCCTGCTTTAACTTTAATCCAATTCATGCATAATCATTGTTTACTTCAAGTACTTAATCGAATTGACTGGCTTACTGTGAAAGGTGGAAGGTACGCATCATAATTAACATAAATACGGATTTTGTTAAATTTAAATAATCAAAAATAATTATCATAAATTTAGTCGCAAGTACGTTGAATCCATCATTTCCAACATTAAAGATATAAGGCTTTCAACTCAAGTGGTTTCTATTACTCGTGAACCATCAGATTCTTCCGATCCAACCTCTAGTCCGATTATCACTATTATCGATGATAAAGGTCGACGGGAAACGTTTGATCACGTGATATTTGCAACTCATGCGGATCAAGCCTTAAAGATCCTAGGTGATCAAGCTACAGAAGAGGAGATACGTATATTGGGCAACGTACACTTTAGTAAAAATCGCGCAGTTCTACATTCGGATCTTTCAGTAAGTAATCCTTATATAATAAATATAAATACATTCATTTGTAACTTACTACGTATCTATCAAATGTAATATTAGTTAATGCCGACACGTCGCTTGGCATTTTCGGCTTGGAACTACCTCTCTAATTCCGCAAAGGATGCAAATGAGGTTTCATTGTATGTGCATATCTCTCATGTTCTTGTATTTTGATATTGAATTAATCGCAAAAATTATATAAATTCGTTCAAAAATTATAGAACTTACTCTATGAATATTCTTCAATCAATTGACGAATCATCACATGGACCTGTTCTTGTATCATTAAATCCGCTTTGGGAACCTGATTCATCCAAGTTATTTGATTCTTGGACATATGAACATCCACAATATACACCAACCACTATTGCCTCTCAGAAAGCCTTGTCAAGTATTCAAAATCTTCCACATCTGCAAACATCCTTTACAGGAGCTTGGACAAACTATGGATTTCATGAAGATGGATTTACATCAGGAATTAAGGTGGCTACGGAGCATTTAGGAGCAGAATGTCCCTTTGAAATAATTGACGCAACTTATATTAGAGGAAAACAATTTGAATTATCAGCTGTTGAGAAGGTTCAAAAGCGATTATGGAATGGATTTGAATGGTCCATTACATACTCTAAGCCTTTAGTGATTGTTGGATTTACTATTGCAAGTGTATATTTTCAACAAGCTTTTAAATTAGCTAAAAATTTCACACATGATCAGGCCAAGACTGAATAGAGTAATAATTTTAATTACGAGTATTGTGGTCTTTTTCTTTTAAAAAGGTCAGAGAAAAAAGCTTTTATTTTATTTATAAGGGTCTTTGTATAGGTAACATTATTTCATTGTTATAGTGTTAAATAAATTTAAACCACTGAAAATTAAATTTAAAATATAATTAAAAATTATAATGCTAAATTATCTAAATTGTCTATATTAATTTTATAAAAACAAACTTTGAACCAAGATTTTTGTCACATAAACATAAGACTACGTGATAATGCACAACTTTGCAATAATTTTATCGGATTAAAACGCCATAATAAGAACCACTATTGATAGAACAGCCGCAAAGAAAATTTGTCGTCCATTGTTATTGGAATTAGCAGAAGATTTTGTACCAGATGGTGTGTCAGACTTTGTAGGTTGGTTAGATGGTGATCCACTTGAAGCAGGAGGATTCGATGGATTCGATGGATTCGATGGAGTCGTTGGAGCCGTTGGACCAGCTGGGGCCATAGTTGGTTGAGTTGGAGCGGGAGCTGATGAGGCTGTCAGTTGTTGACTATATGTAAAAAAGAAAAGCAGGAATAAACATAAAAATTAAAAAATTAAAAAATAAAAAATAAAAATTCGCTTTACAATACATACTTTGCATAACTACACACTTGATCTACAGACGTCTGAAATTATTTAAACGATATTTTCGACGTTAGTATTTTTTTTTTCATGTATTCGTGATCAGCAAAGACTTAATTTACCTGATAGGCATTTCCTTGGCTAGTGATGTCTGTATCATCCGGACATTGACGATAGCAATTACGAATGGCTTAAGGATATAATTTTTAATTAACGATTTGTTCTTTTTTACTTTCTAAAATAATTTTTTTTTTTTTTAGAAAATACCTGTCATCGCAGTACACTGACAAGGGTAGTCATTAGGTTTGGCATAGCAGGCATTTAGTTGGGTTTGTCCCCTACTATTACAATCATCATAGACAGCCTTGTTTGCACAAGTTGCTTCGCTTGTATGTACTAAAGCAAGAATAGCTGCCAAGAAAATGACTAAAATAATCGAAAATCTATTATTAGAAGTCTTCATTTTTATTTTTTTTTATTTTTTATTATTATTTTTTGTTGTATGAAAATTTTAAGGTCGTTCAAAGCAAATTTCAAATTAAGAAAAAAAAGAAAAAAAGCGCTTTTAAATATAAAGAAATTAAGAACCTTCACGAATAATGTATTATGAGTGCGATTTACTGTAATTTATTTCTTCTATGTATCCATACATGATTATATGTAAAATACATACAATAATTTATAGTGCATCGAAGAAACCTATTAATAACAAGTGTATTTACGTACAAAATTAATTACAGCATACTGTGGACACCCTGCTTACATGTTCTATAATTCATGTGAAATTTCATATGTGCAAACCATTTAAGAATCAAATAAAGAATCCTATATATCCCTCACGCACACCTTTAATTTCGCGCAATAGCCACCTCTTATATATAAAATCCTATATCAATATGCCAAGCCATTCATTTTTTTCGCAATGATTAAACTCATGTGTGTTTCACAAAATCAGTGCATAAATTTCAAAAGTTGAGAATTTTTTTTTTTTTTTTTTGGAATATCTATATAGTCATCAATATCATATTATCACTGCTTTCAATGAAGCATTAATATAACAAACTCCGAGAAATTATATTTTAGTTGGCTGGTTGGATAGTTTATTCATTTTAGAATAGGATTACGCATATATTGTTTTCATGAAAAATCTATTCTTTTTATTTTTTAGCATGAGCAGATTTATAAACACTTTAATTCAAACCTCCTAATATTTTACGAGTTTTCTTTGAATCTTCATTAAATTAAATTAAATAATGATACGTAAAATGTGTACAAACATCATCATCGTGCATACAGTTTTAATAATGTTTTATTAGACAGTATTAAAAACAGTTTAAAGACATTCTTTTGATAATGATTCGTTAGATTAATGCAATAAATACATAAATACATATATACTGAGTAATGCATATGATTTTGATTAAATAACAATAAAAGAATTGCACTGGTAAATTTATCAAAGCTAATATTTATTTACTTGATTGCAGAAAGCTTTGAAATGCAATCGCTTAAACCAATTTTAATGATCTTATTAGTTAGAATTGTATATATTTATCTAAAATATAATTTTTACTAGAAGTAAAAGGTAGGTTTATTAGTACAAAAGTTCTATATTGTATTCTTAATTTTTAAAATTATATTCAAAAATAAGACCTTTATAACAAAAAAGAGGTACTTACTGTATTTTTGAAATATATAGTACAGTATGGTAGCTAATATAAATAATTATCTAAAATTTAAGTATAATAAAATATATAGTATAGAATAATATAAAAAATATAATAAGATAACTGTATATTGTATAAATATAAAAAAGGTAATAAATTTTTTAAACTTTAAATTAAAATATCTCATTTAAAAAAATATATAAAATAATTATACTAATACTTTATTGAAAATAATTTAAATAATTTTCTTTAAGATTCTTCTAATCGTTAAATGAATGTCGAATACCAATGTCAATACATCTGAGATTCTCTTTTGAGATATTTAGTCTACCTGAATGTTTATATGCAGCGTTTAAAGTTTGATATTCTCGGCGTTCTGAGAATACTACACAATTTTCGAGAACTTAAATTATTAAAATATGTTCTCTATTATGAACATTAATTCTATGAAAAATTTTTTAGAGCATTAAACTTAAAATTGATTTTTTGAATTTAAATATTCCTTATGTATATATTTGGATCTGAGACCCTAAGAACTTTTCTATAGTAAGTTGATTGTTAATTAACATATATATATTTATATATTGTACGTATATATATATATATATATATATAATTATATTACAAATAGAAATAATACTTTTTGGTAAAATACATTTGACTGAAAATAATCCGTGATGTTAATCTAAAAAAATAAATAAAGATTCGTTTATATATAAAATTGAAAAAAAGTGTAATATGTGTGAAGTTTTAGCCATCGATATACTCACTTAAAAATTCTGGATCCTCCCAGGGTTTTTATTTTATTTTATTTTTCCGAGCAGGTAAGCTCGATTTTTTCTAAATTATTTAGTTAAACAAGAGGCATAACATCCGATTTTTGTTTATTTAACTGTAAGGAAGGTTTTTTATCAATACCAGTTACATTATTGTCGTTATTATTATCTTTAATTGTCAGATCACTTTCGGCAGAGCGGTGGGGTGGTAAAATGCTTTGAGACGTATAATTTTTATGTAGTGAAATAGTACTGTTCAAAAATAATAATAATAATAAATGAAGTATACTACGAAGAGATTTAGATTTAAAGGAGACTGATTATAATAAATCACTTACTTGTACAGCAATACACATTCAGCAATCAATTCAATAGTTGGATAAACACAATACCAGAGGATGAAATATATGATACCAAACTTAAATTCAAAAATAGCGGTTCCTCTATAATAGATGCTTATAAAACCAAATGACACACCCTGAATCATTATACCAGATATTATACATGACATCGGAAAATATATATTTCTTTTTCCTCTCTCTAAACGTTCTAATTCACTATCAGCATCCTCCAATCCACTTCTTAACCGACTTTTTAATTCTTTGATTTGATATTTTATAACTGAATTCAATCTTCTCCATATAAAGCATAAAGAAATAAGATATAAACAACACCAAATTGCCCAGGCTGAATATTGTGCTGTAAAAAGGTTACTTGCAAACGTCGTGTCACCTAAGTCTGCATGGATGCCGGTTAGAATTGACAAAGGGAACCATGTCCAAAATGGTTGTACTGCTAATGTGAATCCAATAATATCAAGGAGTTTTTTATTAGGCATAAGAAAGTTTAAATCGATATTATCTTCAATTTCGACCGATGGTGTTGAATATACTGTTTAAATGAGTTATTTTTTATTTTAATTTTTAATTTTTAATTTTTTTCTTTTGAAGCAATAAAACTTTACCAAAACTGATTGCTAAAAGCACCGCAAAGGAACCGAGCAAAGCATAAGGAAAACTGTGGCCAACTGATTAAGATTTTTTTTTTTTTTAACATAAAATCATTTAAATAACAGTAAATCTCATTAAATATTTCTTCGCTTACGTTCTGCCGAAGTAATGTTTGGGTATGATTCCGAAAGGAGAAGTGAATTGTGAATTGATTGACCTATAAAGAGGCAATATGATTTAGTATTTAAAGACATTTGCTAATTTAAAATAAGGTCATATAAATTTAATCATTTGGTTCCCATAACCCAGTCAAGACAGTTTTGAAACATTCTAAAAATCTTAAATTATCGAGTAGGCATTTAAAGAAATATATATTTTATATATTTTCTAAGTAAAAAAAAAAATTTAAAAGATCACTTAAAATTATACATTATGAGAACCAATCGATTAACTTTGAATGGCCCAAAGTTACATACTAAGAGCATTCAAGATGACAAGAACGTGAAATGTATGAAGTGGTCGTGGTCTCAATAAACCTCTTTCGCGTAATTTTGGTAGAAAACAATCTTGTCGTTTTACTTTTATTAAATAGTAAAGGTTAGTCACTGCCAATATGAAAATTAGAATGTAAATTGGTACGAGCGTCGATATTGAGATAATAAAAAGTCTTTCGTTTTGGCAATTGTAAATATTTATGCGAAAATCGCAAAAACACGTATCTTCTTTGCAAGTTAGCGCAAAAGGTTGGTTAAGACGAACCATGTGTATATATATATTAATTAAAGTATATATATTAATTAAAGAATGGATTTAAACCGTAAAAACGAAATTTCTGTTCACTTGAAATATAAATATTATATGTCAAGTCATTTATAACATAGAACTTCAAAACAGTATGAATTATTAAATTTTGAAAAGTTATATATCTGGAAACCCGGATGATTGTTCGTTTAATCCCTATTAGATCGACCTTAGTTAAATATTCAATAAATTGGCATTTCTTTGTTCAAAATATATGATTTTAACATTAATGACTAGATCATAGTATTATGAATCACTTATCGTACTACATTTGACTTTTTTCATGATCAATGCCTATACATGTTTAACTAAAGGGAAGCAAGCAAGATCGATCAGTATTTATTTTTATATAAATTTTTTATGTCTGTGTTTACGATGCTTATTCTATCAGCATCATGACGAGGGAACTGTTAAAACGGAAAAACTATTATTACGGATTTAATTATTTTTAGACCATTTAAATTTATATACTTCCAGATATCAGGTAAGCGGTTATATTGTAAATCCTCGTATAAACCACTTTTTTGGATTCGACTATTCCGAAATCGGGTTCAGAATGAAATGTGGCAATTAATACAGTTCATGTATAGTGGGGAGATCAAGTATCCCAATTTTAATTAATAGTCTAATTATTAGATAGTCTAATGCGTGTAACCCGGATAATAATATATCCGGAAATAATCTTGTATATAAGTAAAAGGAAATTCTCTAATAAAGAACGAAAAATAATAATTTGACTTCGCTGAGTTGGTGGAGTACCTGAACGATACTCCAGTCGAATAATATAGTCAAGCGATTGATTTGATTGATTTTCGTTAGGAAAGTCAGCAAAGACTCCATATACTGTATCTCACCACGACAACAGTAATAATATTAATGTAGTGTTTATTTTTACGTATACAATAGCGATTTTTAAATTTTTAATAAATAATTAAAATACTGCGAATCAAGATACTTTTCGAATGACCGGATAAATGTGTTGGAAGAAAGGAATATTAGTAAATTAAAGATTTTTTTTTTTCCGCAAACGAATAAAAACAGAAACATATAGATGGAGATATAACAAATTCATTCAAAGGTATATTAATTTTAATTATCATAATCGGTTTTACTAAATCACACTAGCGGTGTTCAACACCACAATCGCTATACCTCAAAAGCTAGCTAAGTAATTAATGCCGGGTGTTCTAAGTAAAAATGTTTAGCACCCCTAAAAACCTTATATTAATCTAAAATTTTATCTTTAATACTAACCCTTACCTTAACCTATAACAGCACCCTAACCTTAAATTTTACTAACGAAATTATTAAAAAATATATGTGGTGTTGAACACCAGTGGTGTGATTTAGTGTTATTGTATTGTATATATTACAATAGAAAAATATTTATAAAACATTTTTTAAATCTTTTTTTTTTTTTAAAAAAAAATGATAATGTTAAATAAAGGTTGCAAATTATATGGTCAGTGGCAATTTTTCAAGTGTTCCAGAATTTATGTACCGGTAAAACCAGTCGACAAATTCTAATTTTTTTAATATTAGCACTTATTCGTCTAATATGTTTATTATAAAAGCCTTTTTATATTCTTGTCAAGATTATTGGTCGACAAGAACTGTCTTTTTCATAAATTTTCGTATAAACTAAATTTTTTGATGACCGAATCGATGTCGGCATCAAACCCACATTTTTCAAATGTCCCAAAATAATGAAAACAGCGTAATAGCCGACAGATCAGCCGAAAAATTAAATCAATTGGGTAAAATTCACCACCCAAATTTTTTCAGATCATGTGAAATTATTTGGGTTGCCATCAATAGAAATAAGGCAATTTGACATTTTAAAAAAAATCAATATCTTAACTTTCACAGCCAATATCTCGATGGATTTTGAAGCTATCTTAACGATTTAATAGTCAAAAGAAAGCTTACGATCTAAGCTTTCTTTTTGAATATTAAATCAGCAATATAACTTCAAAATTCATTGAGTTATGAGCCGTGAAAGTTAGGGTATTTGTTTTTTTTAAAAAATGTCAATTTGCCTTATTTCTATTCCATTTATCCGAAATATGTATGAAGCAAATAACAACGCAAAAAAATGAAATTAGCATCTCCGCTTCGCTTCGCTTTGGATATGTGATCTGAAAAAAATTTGAGTGGTGAATTTTACCCAATTGAAAAATCAAAAATAATAGGTGTAAAAATACCTGCTTTCTAGAATTGCAAATTTACCTCTTACATTAAAATTCGATTTTTATAAAACAGTCATCAAGTAAATTGTACCGTATAGCACTGCTTATAGTATCCCATAAAATAATGATCCCATGATTAAGACCCGGGTATTATTCACCGTCCTACAAGACAACTAAAGATATCCCCTTTTTATTTTATTATTAAAAAGGTTAAGGACACCAAAAAACGACAACTTTTTGCTAAATGTGCCAAATTTAGGATTTTGTATCGATATACTGTAGTTGATTTTGATTAATTTTTATTGGTTTATACACGTAGATTAGACGCCAAATCCTTATATGTAAATAAACAAAGTTTAAATTGTTATAACACTGCTAATTAAAAATAAAAAAAAGCAAATCCTCTTACAGAAATGCAGGTTGGGTTACAAATTAGCAATTTGAGAGGTTTTTTTTATTTAGTATTTATTTAAAAAACTAAAGTTGGATATTTTTAGCTGTCCCGTGCTGTACCAGTCTATTTCTTGAATAAGGCCCGGGGTATAACTTGATTTATTTTCAATTTCAAAGCCAAGGTTTTGAATAAGACCCTGGTACTATAAGCAGTACTATACCATAATACAGTAATACAATAAATAGTCTTCGAAAAAAATATATATATATATACTATACATACAAAAATTAATCAAGATAATGCGCATGCACGCCTGTCACAAACAAATAATGCCCAAAGAGAATAATAAATAAATAAATTAAAACTTCGCGAATTAATATAAAAATCTTTAAAAATCGCGAATTATTAATTTTGTAAACAAAAAAGAAAAACAATTATTGTTTTCTTTGTATCTATACAAAACACTGCTAAAAAAAAAAAAAAAAAAGAAAGAAAGAAATTCATTAATTCATTAACCATTGAACTCAAAAAAAGATGTGACACAGAAAAAATAATATCAATCTAGGAATCTGGGCTGAAGGTAGGTGCGCGCGTGCGTAGCGGTAAAATATTACATAATATGTGTAAACTAAAAAAAAAAATGGAATGATTATGTTTGATAATTGATACATTATATTTATTCTCTAAATTCGTTCATTCCGAAAACATCGTAAGAAAATTTCTTTTGGCGTATGAATGTCTTACCGGGACATACCTTTTTTCTTTCATACACCTTATGTCATCAAGAGTCGCATGATAACAAAAATAAAATCGTTTGCTACACCTTTCTAATGATACAATGTATGTAGCCTGTGCGACAAGAAAAAAAATATTAATGTTCTTTGTCATGTCTATACCTCCATTTTGTATTCAAGCAATTAAAAATTCAATATTTCCTTTTTTGAAAAAAATCTCCTGGCATCAATGCTTGTAGTACTATATATTCAAAGCCAAATCACATGACGTACGCCATTATATTTATTTTTGGAGTAAAATAATGATCACGAAGGCCACGCGAGTCGTGAAATAAACATACGTGGACATGCACGCGCTGTGCATGAAAAAAAAATTTTATTGAAGGCGAATGGGTTTTAAAATGATATAAAAATACGAAATATATCATTTTCTTAACATGTCTCTACATCTCTCAGCCATTTCTCACACTAAATACACTCATTTTCTGTTATTTTAATCCATAAGTATAATTGGCATTCCTCGTTTACCATACTTATGATGAACTATGAACACTTTCATTCCATTCAATTCCCGCTGGTGGTAACTCCAACTTGTTTTCGCAACTATGGACTCTGTCCTAAAAATTGTTCGGCAGGGTTCCACTGTTACGATGGTGATATACAAGGACTTTTATACCACCTATGCATTTCGGACTTTAAAAGTCATAAACTTTATTTCTATCCAACATCAACTTTCGCTTTACAGCTGCCTTTAATAGCTGTACAGGAATTACCGGTAAAAAAGATTATACTAGTACTAAGCTTGTTAGAGCAACTTAAATTCCGGCTTGATATTAAGGATCAACATGAAGGTCGGACAGTATTCCTCGAAGCTTGCAGCCGGTTAATGAAAAGGGATAAACAATACGCGGCTGAATTCCCTAGTCTAGTCGATTGGTTTCTTGGTAATACAAAGTTTAATATAAATGAGAGAGACAATGAAGGTTGGACTTCGTTACATTTTATTATGGAACTTAAGCACGAGGAATTCATAATTCCCATTTTGAAGAAACTTCTTCAACATGGTGCGGATCCAAGTATTGAAGATTATAACGGATTCAATCCGCTTGGATACGCAGTCTATAGACATGAATTACGATTCATTCAATGCTTAATCGAAAATATACCGGAATTTCAACATGGTGATATCATAAAAAGAGCCATTTCCAAAGCTGGCGTGTTCAGTGCAAAAAGGCACTACTTACGTACATGGTTGCAACCACAACCTAAAGCATGAAAAACTTAAACCAAAATATGAAATATGTTGATACTAAGGCATGTGGGTACATATGAATTTATGACTAAATATAATAAGATAATAAGAAATTCAAATCTAGCAATCGAATTAAAAGAATTAAAAGAGAGAGATTATTTATGCAATAAAATTAAGGCTTTAAGATTCATAAATTATTGTTACATATTTTACGTGAATCGCTTTTTTCATTTTTATTATCTAAATCGCATCTTAACGGTTTCTCTATCAACCAAGCTCTCATTATACTATTACTTCCATTATATTGTAAAGAATTATCACTTCTAGTATCTTGCCAATTTATACTATCAGCAGGTTCATGAATTTCGGTTTGGTCTGTAAGTCCAAATTGTCCAGATACGATTGTTGTCCCACCTACAGATACTAAACAAGTAGGTTCATTATTTGAGGATGATATGAAGTGTTTGAAAGCTTCAGCAATGGAATCTCGTCTTTTATCAATGCGATGTGACTTTGGTGTACGAGCATTTTCATGATCATTCGTCTTCTGTGTTGTCATTTGATTCATTTCTAAAGATTGTATCACATAAGTTTGTTCAGCAGAAGTTTGATTTCTGTTTCGGCCAGAAGAGAAACGTGAATTTTTTCTAAATGAATTATGTTGTTTCACGTAACTAAGAATATTGATTATTATTACTAAGATTTGAAAAATCTGCATCTCAAAAAAAAAAAAAAAAAAGATATAAAAAATAATAAATGAATAAAACATACTAATAAATATATATCATCTGCACAACATTCGCAAAGATGGGTATGAAAAAATGCCAAAGGATGAAGTATAACATGTTTAAGAATTTCTTTTGTATTATCACGGATCTGTAAAAGAGACCAAAGGATAATGTTTCTATAAAATGAATTGCGAATATAATCGCACCACACTTTACAATCCACGAAAGCTAACGTAAAAAATAGCTTTTAGCATACGATAAAAAACAAATAATATCGTTAAATAAAGATGGTCTTACGATTTTTCTGGTAATTTGTAGTTCCTGTATTCTAAGTTCATCAGCGTTTCTTCGTCGCATTTGATCAACATAGCCCCGCATATTAAAGACCAAGTTGTAGTAAGCATATAATAAAATAACCACAAATTGCAGAGTCCACAAACACCAAGCTATGGAATTTAACATTAACATACGTGACGCGATTAAGACTTCGTTCTTGTCAGCATAATAGCCCGTGAGTAATGAAAATGGTACGTTCGTTATAAATGGTGTGATAATTAACCAGAATGCAAAAATATTAAGGCGAGCATTTGGCTTCCATCGAGAATTTATCGCATACAATTGAGACTCAGGTGTCGAATATACTGCAAATGGGAATGGATGCTGGTGAACACAAAAATATTCGTGTTTAAGCGGCGTTATTTGATTATATTACTTACTTAAACTAATTGGAACAGTCACTGCTAAAGAATAACCAATAAGCCTTGAAAGATAGCAAAAAAACTGCCCAATATAAAGAAATTAATAAGGATTTATACGTATTTAATATATATATATGTATTTAATATATATGTATATTATAAAAAACATACTTCTGCATAGATCGAATTTGGATAGCTGTCGGTAATTAGTAATAATAAACAAGCGGCCTCTGTCAGGTGATAAACGCACACGACGGTATTAAAAGCATCTTTGGGCTTTATCCATTTAAAGCATCGTTTTCTTGATGAAGGATAAAATATTGATTTACGCTTTATAAATACTTGATTAAAAATAAATGCTGCGGATATTAAAGACGTAATTAATAAGTAGGGTACAAGTATTAGACTTGCGTATTGAATTAGGTTTTCTTCTTCACATCCTCTTATATTTATTCGGAAGTCACAAGCGCATTTGTTTCGTTCTGTTAAATTACAGACTAACGCAAAGTGGTTTCGTAATTGTACCATTAGAAATTATAATTATTGTAACTATTGCCTGTGTTAATTGTAGAGAGAATTGCATCCTAAAATTTATCGTTACTGTAACTGGTGATATCATATGATATATTTATTTCGTGAGCTTTGCTCCAAGGTTTGGAGTCTTAAGACACAACAAACACTGATAGAAGATTATGGCATTAAAAGACGAGTAATAGCTTTAATCTTTCGAGGCCTGCTACTTAAAATTATTTCGTTCCACCAAATGACTTTGTAGATAGCTATTTATATAGTTCATATATAGCTTTTTCTTACAAGTAGATTCCAAATTAATTCATCGATGATGTTACAGAGAAGATCTTGGTTTCATCAAAATAACATTGCATGTGGTCTCACAGCAATATGCACTCCAAGGATCTGATTCCTTACCAATTTAAATATATTTTTCTTACTTGACCAAATTTGATAAGCATACTAGTAACCAGAATATTTGCCATTCTCTATTATAGAATATGCACAAAAGTAGACAATTCTAATTTAGTGGGGTTTGTACGTCACTGTTACGTAACCGTTCATTTAATGCTACTGTATCTCATGGTAAATTATTCATAAGTTTTTATTACATATTACGTGTAATGCTTAAGTAAAAAAAAAAGTTGGTTTAAAAACTTTGCTAAATTTCTGCCTATTTATAATCTACTGGAACTTTTTATTATTTATTACAGTAATGCTTGCACGCGATTACCATTTTTTATATTAAAATAGCTTCTTGGTCGGATGGCTTTTATTAATTATTATATAAGTGCATTTATAAGTATATAATTACCTATATACTGTACTACGTTAAATCTCTCTAAATACAACTTAAAAAAACCAGACTTTTAATGGTTTACATTTATAAAACAATAAGATATAGAAGTTTGGGTTAGAATTAAATTTTTTTTATAAATAGTATTTTTTTATTATGCCCATATGATATAAAGCTATTTGACATGATATATATCTTTAATTTTTTATTTATAAACTAATTAAGCTAAGCTACTATAGTCTTAAAAAAGAAAAAAGAAAGCTTTTAAATAAATAGCATTTTGGTTTATTTTTTTTTTTTTTAAAAATTCGGCAATCTTGCCTTTACTTTATTAGGCTTGGAATATTATACTGAGAAATATTACTTTTCGAAAAATGAGACTCTAAGATCAAGTCTTTATGATGCCTAAATTACAAGTATTAGCTCACTTGGCTCTTTGTGACCAAAGTCCAAATTACCTATGTGTGATCTGCTATAAGCAGAATAATATTTACTCCTGCACTTGAAGAAAATAAAACTTCACCGAAAGGTTTCTGCTAGCCCATCAAGACTACCTATTC